GTATAGATGTCATGGTTGTTCGTATCGTTGTATTCTCACATGCATGATGTCTAGTATATATTTTATTACTCCGGGAGCAATGAATGAGTGACTCTTTACTTTGCATATACGCACAGGTATACATTTTTTCATCCTACAGCGAGTGCATGCATGTATCTATTTATCTATCTATCTATCTATCTATCTATCTATCTATCTATCTATCTATCTATCTATATCTATTCATTTATCTATCTATGCCATGGATGACTCGCTTTATCTAATGTGTATATTGAGTGATTTGCAAGAGACTCCCAAGTATCACATAAGGTCGCCACTGAACGTGCAACGCCATTTTCACAACCATGCCTCACACGTGTGACATATGCGGCAAAAAAGTTTAGTGGAACAGCGAACCTCGCCCGTCATCGCGACACAATACACAGAGACGTGGCAGAAATTTCTTCGGGAGAAGAGAGCATGGACGCCGAGCCAGGTTCTTACCGATCCGCTGACATATTTGACGACACCGACGAGCCGTCGGACGAGGCAACGGCAGAGCATGACATGGAATCACTGGAATCTTCCTTGGATGATGAAGTCTCAGAAGAAGATGAGTCTGAATTGGACTCTCAGAAGGTAGAGTCGGGGACAGAAACTGACAGCGATCAAAGTGATTCTGAGAGTGATGTAAGCTCAGACGTGTCTTCCAGCACGGCTTCTTCTGAAGAGGAAAGTGAAGAGTACAGCTTCGATAGTGATGATGAGGAGAAGTGGACGCTCTATCGCGACTCAACCATTCCTCTAACTCACGATCCTGGCGATGTCCCTCAACGCATGATCAAGGAGACAAAACGCGCTGGAGTTTGCTGCCTTACCTTCGCCTTACAGTTATAAATCGTGCACAGCAAAAACTGGGTGTCAGAGCATTGATGAAAAAATATGGGTACCTCGTTCTGAAATAATACAACGTCGTCCTCCCAGTACAGCTTTTCTTAATGTAACTATTGACACAGGTGTACCGTGTTTGGCACAACGTATAGGACGTCTGCCATGCGTTGGTTTGCTGTAAGTTCCTCGATACATTCTTGACTAATGACTGATAAAAAATTGTTACGAAACAGTCTTTTGTGTACATGATATTTGTACACATTATACGCACATGCATTAAACCGCGTAGGTTTGTTACCACAAACACTCCGGAGCAATCATTGACTCTCACAACATCGTCATAGTGTGCATATGCTAAGTGACTCACGGATATCCCCATGGATGTGCAATGAGTGACCCACGATGTCGTAATGTATGTGCAATGAGTGACCCATGATGTCGTAATGTATGTGCAATGAGTGACCCATGATGTCGTAATGTATGTGCAATGAGTGACCCACGATGTCGTTATGTTATGTGGCGTCGGGTGGTGTAGTGGTTAGAGCAATCGAGTATGAACCGGGGAGACCCGGGTTCGATTCCGAGTCGTACAAGGTACATGTCTGAACATGCGCCCGACGTTGTGCCCGTTGGGAAGGCACATCGGAGAAGAGAGCATGGACGCCTTGGGAAAGGCATTTTACACGACTTTCCTCACTCCACCCAGGTGTGAATGGGTACCTAACTTACGGTTGGGAAAGCCGTATTGAGGTCACCTTGTGGCGAAAATGGCAGCCGGACAGACCCTTGCGACAGTTCCACAAAAAATTGTGGAACAAATATGTGTATCATTTGTATTATTTGATTGTTGTAATTGTTGTGATTTGTATTGATTATGTGATACCCTGCTTCAATTCAGCCGTATAAAGGCTGCGACTGCACGGGTACTGTTTGGACAATGAAACCATTAAAACCATGTTAACAATGAGTGACTCACGATGTTGTTATGTATGTGCAATGAGTGATTCGCGATGCCGTTATGTATGTGCAATGAGTAACTCACCATGTCGCTATGTTACCAATGAGGGACTCATTCTATTTGTGTATGCAAACATGAATACATACTTCCATCGCGCATTCATGTACGTCTGCATCTATCCATCTACATACACAATCAGTCATATGCAATAAGTGGCTCACGGCATCGTAATGTGTGTACAATGAGTGATTCACAATGTCGTATTCATACCTTGAGTGACTCACAGAACAAATAAGTGATGTCATGGTTTTTGTTAACGGTCCTTAAAAGACATGCTGGTTCAAACTGGAGCCCCCCGAAAAAAATGACAAGAAAATAAAATGTACATTTGCTTCCAGTCCTTTATCGTGTGTGTGTGTGTTTGTGTGTGTGTGTGTGTGTGTGCATGAGTGACCCATGTTGTCGTTATGTTCACAATGAGTAACTCATTTCATTTGTATATGCTCACATTAATACATATTTCCATCATGCATACATGTATGTATGTAATGTATCTACCCATCGATCTACACAAACACAACCACCCATGTCCAACACGCCCTCCCGGGACGCGTAAAAAACGTTAGGAGCTCTGTGGTGGAGCAGACGACGAAATATGTCTTCCGTTTGAGTTTTCAACACCTCCATACTGACACAGCAATACATGTGTACATACACAACCTACTCTTAATAAATGACGATACCCCCCGACACGTCCTCCCGGGAAGCGTAAGAAAGGTTTGAAGTGACCGCGCTGGGATTCAACAGGTCCCAGCTTAATTAAAAGAACAAAAGGATTAACCCATGCCCAGCAAGACCTCCTGAGGCTAAAAACTGTACATCCTTAAGTAGCGATACCGCCCGACACGACCTCCCGGGGCGTCTGGTATACCATATTGACCTTCACGTTACCTCTACACAAAACCACGATCCACACAATCCAAAGTCCACAATCCACCAACCCACAACCCACCAATGGTACCTATCCTGTCCATCCTATACTACTGACTTCACTTGAATAGTCGAAAATTGGTGTCGAATTTCTTGTCATGGAAATAACAGTTTAACAAAATAATAACAATTAAACTTGCCATACCAATTGTGTAGTCTTCCCCAACAGTGAAGCAAATTGCGCATGTCATGTTGTCCTGAGGGAAGAGGAAAGGGTCCAGGGTACAGGTTGTGGTGGCCAATGCTGCTATAGGCCAGTTGACTTCACCGTCGTTATCTATTCTTACCTCTGTGAAAGGGAATGTGCCGCTGTACCTCGTGTCAGCACTGGAAACATAAAAGACATAAAAGAAAATACATCAGAAAAATATAACTTGATTCGTGCAACAATGATGTTATAGCTGATGCTCAATACTATCATCACACTCAATACGTGTACTACATATTTACACGATACCTTTTCAATGAGATACAGTTAGAACAGAAATGAATATGTACATCTTCAGTTAACCACGATGTATGTGAATTCGTCTATAAATGCCTCAAGAAGAGAGGAGAAATATGTAAAGCATAGACATAAATAGAGCATATCATAGTGTTCCTATTCCTTATTTGCAGGTAACGTACTGCATTTTGCCCCAAAGGCGTATTAATATGCAATAGATATTGCTGTCGTTGTCATCGTCATTTGGAGATGCATGCAAAAAGAGTGGACCGATTTCAACTAGTTAGAAGGGATGGTTGATTATTTTCCACCCATGAGTGATTTTTTTTCTGATAAGACCACTTTTTCTCCGACCCCTGGGTGGTCTTTTTAGACAACTGTACACAATTTACCGCTCGCTTTCATTCAAATGTGCAAAATGCATGTCATACTATTAACGACTGGATATGAACTAAATAACGAATTTCGAACATTATTGCTTTCTTCACTCTCCCATTACGGTTGCTATGTTTTTACGAAGAAATGTACGTATACCACATCACTAGGTTTTGTTTATGACTTGGAATGGATTATAGCCACAGGTTCGGAGAGTTCTGTAACCTCCGTTGCCGCTGTAGTAAGATCGAGCCACATATAACATATCAACTACATCAAACTACGGTTTTTATGATATTTTGCAAGTATTCTGGGTCTCTAAGGGAAGCTCGAAGAACAAAGGAGTATTCACTGTCATTTTTAGCCATTGTTGCTGAACAAATGTTTTACAGTAAATGTCTGTAACCAACATAACAGGTGTTTGTTACTTTCAAAATTATTAGTGAACTTAACCTGACGTAACAAACTTCCCCAGTTTTTCAATGTCCGTACATATGATCCCTGCTTAAAAGATAAAGCTAAAAACTGCAGATCTTTTTTGAAGAAAAAGAAGCAAAAGTGCAATGTTGTAATTATAAGCTCGGTTATGCTTAGGTCACATTTCCACACCGGGGCCCGGCCGGGCTGTATGTATGAACGAAAAATTACCAATTTATATCAAGAATATGCAGAAATAGTGCCCATGATTATATTAAAAAAAATTTCTGTCTTTTGTTGTCTTATGTATCGTAGTTTTCGTTCCTAAAAAGCTAGCCTGGCCGGGCCCCGTAGTTTGAATTGTGACCTCAGCGTTACCGGTATTCTGTACATTTCAAAGAGTCTTACTTTGTTTCCAGCGTTAAGGTTGGTAGCCAGACCCGTTCAGCACGAACAAACATGTGGTCAAATTTGCCGTACCTCTCAGGATTCCATGCCAATCGGTCGTCCATCCAGGACTGGGGATGGACAAACAGAAGACTGTATGTATTGTCATGTAAAAAAAGGTCAACACACCACCAGGAAAATTAATCGAGGCTAGGGCAGTGGTCTGTGCCCTCCCTTAAAAACTTTATCCCGGATGCCTGTAGATTATGTTAATTGTAAAATTATTGCAGCGCCATATTTCGATGCTTGGTAATTTATTTTCATTTCAATCTAAAGAAAGAAAATAAAAATGAAAACTATCTTTGAAGTTTATACGTGTATATATATATATATATATATATATATATATATATATATATATATATATATATATATATATATATATATATATATATATATATGGTTGTGAACCTACCCATTCAGCTTTGTAGGATGTTACTATTTGTTCCGCTTTTTCGTCCTAAAAGAAGAAAAATAAAAGACACGCCATTAAGCTATTGTTAATTGACAAAGGAGACCGCAATATGTTGCTGAACAAAATGCCAACGTTTCAACCTCCTTCGTAGTTTGCCTTGACGACAAAGAGGCTAACATGCACAGTAATATATAGTTGTAAAATTTAAAAAAAAAACTGTTAAATCGTCTTACCAATTTGATAAGAATAACTACGGCTTTGAAAGTCATGTTTGATGGTATTTCTTTTTACTTACCAAGTTGATGACGTTCTTAACATACGCTTTAAAATATAGACTAGTTGTAGGAGCAACCTCCTTGTTGTAGACAGTCTCGCTAAGAAGATCCTCTTGGAGCTTGTATTTGTGGTCGACTGCAACAGAGTAAAATGCTGTTGGATTCAAGCCCTGTTCAAAAAGATATTTACTCCAGGCTTTAATGTATAAAAAAAACTAGTAAGGTATTTCGCGATCTGGTTAGGAGTGAAACATATGTCACGGGGGAGATTGGAATCCAGGGGGATCCGGAATCCTCCATGGGAGATTGGAATCCCTATGTCCCCTAGGAGAATCTGGAATCCTCCTAGGGGTGATAGGGATTCCACTCTCCCCTAGGGAAGACTGGAATTTAAGTTTTTCTTCACAAAACTGGGATCTGAGTATCTGAATTCCAATCTCTTCTAAGAGGCTTCCCAAATTTTTCTAGGGGAGATAGGAATTTCAATTTGCCCTTGGACAAGTGGGAATTCTTTCGGGACAATCTCCAATTTTAAAAGGAGAAACTCTGATTGCATCAAAATGCCTGGAAAAATAGATTGAGTTACTTCACACCTAAACTTTAAATCAATTTTATAGGTAAGTGAATATGTAAATCAGACTCAGATATTTGCATCAAGCCATTGTGAGATAGTGACGCAAAAACCAGTTTTTCCAGGTTGTTAGTGACTTGGTATATATAAGGAATGCAGCAAATGATAGAAAAATGATATTCCTAATACTGTAGTATTGCTTGAGATTTTGAAGCTTAGGTATAATTTTAGATGCCAAGTCTATATGTGTAAATTCTGAATAAAATAATGGTTTGTAAGAATATTTTTTTTCTATTTTGCCAATTTATTTTCACATTATTTTGCTAATTGGAAATAGATTTAGGTTTAAGTTAGGAAAGATTGCAAATTATTATGGAATTAGAACTGCAAATTATTCCAGGACAAATCTTGATTCCAATCTAGTAATTCACCTACAATTATAGTAATTGGCTTGCCTATGCTGAAATTGATTGAAAGTTTAGGTGTGAAATAATTCAATTTATGAGTTCTAGTATTTCTACTACTGAATTGGGATCTAAATATCAGGATTCCAATCTCTCCTAGAAGGATTCCAGATTCCCCTAGGAGGATTCCAGTCTCCCCTAGGGGAGATTGAAATCCCTATCTTCCCTTGGAGGATTCCAGATTCTCCTAGGGGAAATAGGGATTCCAATCTCCCCTAGGAGGATTCCGGATCCCCCTAGATTCCATTCTACCCTGTGGCATATATATTTCATAACTACGAAGAACATAGTAGGCTAGCATGGCTGAGCAACATTCGTCACAGTCCACCACAGTCTGTTGTCTGATTTTGACGTAGACGCAGCCTGTGGCCAAAACAACCGCCGGTGAAGAGCGCTTTAAGTGGTAAAAGAAGGAAGAAGTGGGGGGCAATATTTGGACTGGACCGGCCTACACGGCAGAGAGGGTTGGAGGGAGGCAGTGTGCTTGACAACACAAGCGCCCTCATGACCACCCCTGATCAAGGAACTGGTTAGCAGTAAAACACGGTTCGGGATAGTCTCTGTGCAACGAATGCCGCAGATTCGCTTCTTTACAGTTCGGGATACGGGTAGTCTATCCGAAACCGTGCCTGAGCATGCCACTGTTCTGGGTAAAACACAATTGATGAAACGACGCATACCTTGACAATTAGGTTTCTTTGTTGCCCAGTTGACTTCTCCCGTTGATTCGTTGACTTGAACACACCGTGCTGTGTTGGGGGGACTCCCCTTCGGGAACTTGAATCCCGTGTTACAGGTGTACGTGATTTTATCATTAGGCCAGTAGAACTTCAGTACAGGACTCCTTTGTCCGTATAAGGGTTTGCCCGGATCTTCGCATCCTTTAATTGAAACTAATGGAGGATGGAAAGAAGCCAAATAAGTAGGATACCACAGTTAGATTGTTTCTATACATAACATGCTAGGATGATAGCGGAGATTCTCGTAAGTATCATTACACTAAAAACGCGTTAAACTAAAAAATAGCCCGGTAGCCGCAGGGTGTCCCGCGGGGCTACGTAGGGGTCACTCCCGAAAGTGCTAAAAAAACATCACGGAGACTAACCGGCAGGGCCCCTTTTTCCAATTAGGACAAAGCATAAGTGAGTGAATGGATTGAGTGGATGAATGAGTTTGTGAATGAGTGAGTGGATGAGTTAGTGAGTGAGTGAGTGATGATACATATAACGTGATGACCTACTGTTGCAGGGAAGTATGTCACAGTACTCAAATCCACTGGATGTAAAGCACCATGGCCTGAGGTCTCTTTCGGGCCTAGGGTTGCGACATTTGTTATCGACAAGATTCGCCCATGGGTACGTTTTTGGGTAGGTATCCGCGTCCCATCGGCTGCAGTCAACTTCACCGATAGGACCTCTGGCCTCGTTCCCTCTGTAGTTTGCACCGGTTCCATCGAAGCAGTCCACTATAAGGTCGAACGAAATCATGCATTACTAAGAAATCGGTCATCTTTATTGCACAACAAACGAAGTTATAAATGAATATATGTAAGATAGTAAATACAGACAAAAAATTAGTTTAATATATGTATTCTTCTATTAATAGTGAAACTACATAATGACTATAGAATAATATTGTACAATAATCACAAAAATTTGTGTCCGAGGTAATACAATATCTTTTTTGTAAGTCGGGGCATTACAAAAAAAAGTTGAAGTCAGTTGTAAAACCTATTTTCCTCGATGTGGGTGGGACATCATAAGAAGCGTGTAGGTTCTGCAACAAAAATTTGATCTGCAGAGTCCAACTTTGGATTAGCACAACTGGCATGGAGATCTAGTCCCTTTTGCTATTCTACCCTAACTAGTTACCTATTCCCACATAGGATGAAAATGCCAATCTATTGGGGCCTATCCAGACAATTTTACTCTTTAGGGAAAAGGCATAGACCTACCACCCGCCCGGGTTCTTGAAGGCCTGACGTTGTTGCAGTTGTTGTAGTGGAAAATCTCGCAGGGTGGGAAAATTGACGAGGTTGGCTCATGTCTACACGTGTACTTCACCTCTTCGCACCAAGACCGACAGGGCAGCTGTTGCCGGGGTTTCGGACTGAAACAAAGTCACAAAAAGACAATGATGGCTACACTGATAAGGTTGCACAAACATTGAATAGCAAAGTTCTATACTCGTTTAAAAAGAGCCGACATTTCGATGACATTCTGTCATCTTCATCAAAGCAATCATTACTGATTCATTGTAGCTGTTCACTGAAGCTAAGTGTTAACCAGGTGTTACTGCTGAAAAATACAGTCTCAAACATAAAGTCATTGTGACATATATAGATATTGCTACAATAGTGAGATATACGGTTTCAAATGTAATGCCCATAAAAAGATACATCTAGCTTTAATGCATAGTGAATCTGCATCCGGCATTATCATGCAAAAAGGATTACCAGAGTCGTCCACGGCTAAAGTAACACCGATATGAAGCTTTTAAAGCAAACGAGTTAAGTGAGGGCGTTGGGAATTATGTACCTAGAATTGCAGCGCGGCACAATGATGGCACAGACGTAATCTTTAATACTGGGGTGACACCCAGAATCCACCAGATCCCTGTAGGCACTGAACTGGTTTGATTTTATGATGTCATCCACCGTTGTGTGGGAGGAGTTGAGAGGGTTGGGAAGTGTCATCTTCCTGTACTCAAGACCCCTGCACATCCTCAAAGACTTTGGGATATTTTGACAAGCTGGATAAGATAAAAAAAACACCAACCCTCGTGAAAAATTTGATCAGGTTGTTGAATGAATGAATAACGGAGTCTTTTCTTTTTACAACCACACAAGCCAAGGTTTTTGAGGCGCCCCCCCCCCCCTCCGTCTCTGTTGAGGAATGGTTGCCAAACTTTACAAATTCTGTCCTTATTACTTTGTACTCTCGGGGTCGCCAAATACTGTGTTTTGTGGTTTAAACCATACACAGCGTGAACTAATGACGACACCAGAACATGTCTATTAACCTGAAGGCTGATGTGGATGCAACCATTAGCAAAGAAAAGGGGTGATCCTGATTGAACTTACCGTCCCGTTTGAACAGAATGCACAGGACGCCGAGGATAGAAAATCGGCGAAGTACGAAAGTCTGGTTAATGACATTAACTTTCATAGTGGATACAGGGCTACTCTTGTTACAGTTGAAGTAGGAAGCAGAGGGTGGATTAACGGCATGAACATTGCAAAGCTGAAGTCACTCTGTCCGGTCAGTCACAAAGACCGTGAAGTCAGACACCTTAAAAGTAGACTGGGAAAGTGTGCACTTTGTGCATCTTATGCAATCTATTGTGCCAGAAACACACCTGCTTGGGAATGCACTTCAGGATTGTTCTACTGTAAAAATTAGATGTAAAATTTAGCTGCTGTCTTTTTAAGAACTCTAAATTGTAATTGTTATATAATGTACCCGTAATTATAATTATATATGACAATTTTTAATAGAGAACGTCTGTATGTCCGATGCACACAGTGACTAGTATATTGTATTTTTGTCTGTCCACCTTGCGTCCTCCTCTTGTTACCTAAACATGAGACAAAGGATTGTCCTAGGTTTTTAGCTATGTATTTTAATATGTCATTCATCTTGTATGGAATAAAGATGATTTTAAAACAACATGTTGTAGACAAACAACGGTGTTACCGAAAAGCACGTTCACTCGCGCGGCTGTACATATGTGACGTTTGTAACGTGACATACTTAAAGTAACGTAACATTATGTTACGTTAACGTAGTGCGTTTTTATGAGTTATGATAACGTGTGAAGCCTATGTACGTTTGAATCAACGTATCTAGTACCCACCACATTTGCTTGTATCCTCATCACTACCGTCTCTGCAGTCGTAGTTTCCGTCACACCGTTTCCAAGCTTGTATGCAGGTCACACCGTCATCACATAGATACTGGCCGACCTCACAGGTAGATAACACTGCCAATCAAAATGCACATATTAATCTAGAATACAAAGCGGTGTATCACCCGAGGTACCAGCTCGACCGCGTGTCAGAAGGCCTTACGGCCTAAGGCCGGAGGGAGATTAAACCCGTGGACTGGCTGGGACCGACGGTGATGCGGAATGCACTGTGCTGTTTTTTTATTTATGTCATACCTTCGCAAGAAAACACGCCTTTCAATGCGAAAGAAGCCCAAATTTGGTGTCCCTAAACCAAAGAAGACAACACATCCTGTATTTTATATATATATATATATATATATATATATATATATATATATATATATATATATATATATATATATATATATATATATATATATATATA